TTTTTTTTTACAGGACATAAACATGTTTTAAAGGTCCCCCATAGTTTCTAAATTTCTGGAAAAAGGTTAAGAAGGGCTGAGTCACTGACATATACTTTATAAATGCATGCTTCAAAAACTTTTAGAAGTTACAAGGCAGATATTAGTGTATACTGTAGAAGGTTGAATGAGGATCCTTCAACAGTTCATCTTCTGGACTTTATCAACAAATCCTTGATGAAAAATATGCATTAGATAGGTAATGCCAAATCACTTACATGCACCCCCTGTGCATTCAACTTATAGGAACCCATCAAGCCTTTACCATACATTCTGGACAATTTCATTGCTTGAATTGTTTGAGTGAATTCAATGAAGAAATTTACATACATTCCCTGCTCAATGATAGACACAGAAAGCAAAAATTAAAATTTTTTTTGGACAATAAGAAGGAACTCCTGCAATAAATTTTTCAAGTGAATACATTTTCTGGACAGAAATAAATACATTTTAGCAAAAGTATACCATTGAAATGTTGAAATTGTTGCCAAGTCAAAGCACATGTTGTAAATTATTGTGTGCAAAACCCAGGCATCATCCACAGGAGATGCTAAAACCTTTTGAGTAAGATTTTTTTCTTGATCATGGAGAATTGAAAAATGGGGAAATGTTCATGGCATATATGTCAGCCCCTTTCTTGGGAAAAATGCAGGCTTTAAATTTGTATACCTTGCTATAAATCCCACCCATTTGTGTAGGTAAAGTTGACATTTTGGTTTTAACCCTAGACAAAATGTGCTGTATATTACCTTTCAGAGAGAGAGAGTGACGTTGTTAAAAGAGTCCTGTTTAAAATGAAACGAAGGTGTCCCAAGAGAGTAGGGGTACAATACCCCCAAGAGATGTGAGTCGTTTTAAGAGGGATTTCGTTAAAAAAGACCTCCCTTGAATTTTGAGGAAGTCCACCAAAATTTCAAATGCTACCTTTCAAGAGACATTTTGTTTTGCATGACAAAACTCATTCAGGAATTAATTATACGTTTGATGAGTGGGGACCTAGGTATATATGTACTCACTGAATTCTGCTAGCCTCCTCAATGATCAAAGGAGGTGGGTAGTGGCGAGCTCCAAACCCATGGAACCCATGAGACCCTGGGTGGCTATGATGGTGATGATGATGAGCACCATCCCTTGCGTTTCTCACTTTCTCTCCAGAACACACGCCCATGCTGATGCAGACCATGGTTACAATAGTCAGAAACCCCTTCATGATTGGTTGAAAAACTATAGAGAACTACTTGGACTTGAGGTCTGGAGCTTTCTGATCGTCCTTTCCCACAGGAATGGTTTTCTTAACCCCCAGAGTGACTCAGCCTGAAATTTGGCCTCAAGATCGTCTCTCGCAATAGCTTGAACTTGCACCAGAACGTGATGCGAGCATATTTTGGAACAAAATTGTTATAAGTTTCTGCCAAAAGTTTATGCTGTTTCAGATTTCAACTGTTATCATTATTGGTCAAAAGTATTTGAGTTGAAAAAGCTCTGCTCTAGAAATTTTCTGTGACGCTGGGGCTGTTTTCTAAAATCTGAGATCTAGAAAATTTCTGAGAAAACGTCCAAATGAGAAATTTGAAGAAATAAAAAATAAACTGCACTACAGTACTGTAAACTGGGTCTAAAAAAATGTATGAGGACAGTTTCTGGACAAAAAGGGAGTGCAATAAAAATCAAAAAGTTTTCTATATTTTTTATTTTTTATTTCCAAATCATGAGAAATGCTTTGAACAAGAAAAAAGAGACAAAAATATTGTGTTTTTACTTTTTAGACCTACAAATCTATGAATTTAAATTGTATTACTCAAAATACATCACACCATTTCAAAATTTGGAAGGGACTTCTATTCAAATGTATGAGGACAGTTTCTGGACAAAAAGGGAGTGCAATAAAAATCAAAAAGTATTCTATATTTTTTATTTTTTATTTCCAAATCATGAGAAATGCTTTGAACAATAAAAAAGAGACAAAAATATTGTGTTTTTACTTTTTAGACCTACAAATCTATGAATTTAAATTGTATTACTCAAAATACATCACACCATTTCAAAATTTGGAAGGGACTTCTATTCAAATGTATGAGGACAGTTTCTGGACAAAAAGGGAGTGCAATAAAAATCCAAAAGTTTTCTATATTTTGTATTTTTTATTTCCAAATTATGAGAAATGCTTTGAACAAGAAAAAAGAGACAAAAATATTGTGTTTTTACTTTTTAGACCTACAAATCTATGAATTTAAATTGTATTACTCAAAATACATCACAGCATTTCAAAATTTGGAAGGGACTTTTATTCAAATAAGTGAGAAGGTTCATCTGTTCACCTATATGCAAGCTGTATGGGGCATCATACTCATGTGCCAAATTGACAATGGGATTATGTAGATTCACATAATTTGATGCTTGCGTATTGAGGAGATTTAAAATGGACAAATATTGAGAAAAAAATTCTCAGCACTGCAGGTTATTTGTTTAGTCATGAATACTCATACCTTTAACCACCCAAGCTCTGATTATGCTTGGGAAAGCCATTTTATCTTAACTTTTCCATAAATTTTTAATTGACTCAAACAGAGCATGTTTCCTTTTATTCTACAAATTTCTGTACCATTACGGGATTATGTATGTTTAAGATAATATTACTGTATATAGATATTTTAGAAGATATGGGGAAAGCTGAATGTGCTAAAAATTTCATTTAATAATGAGTACAATCTCGCAAACTTTGTATGTTCCAATGTTTTGCTCAGTTGCAAGAAGCAAAATTATGATGACAAAGCAAAGGTTTCAAGGTCCATTTTGGTTCGACTGAAGAAGGAATGTGTTCAGAATTTCCCATGAATCGACGTTATTTTGGAATTTATCAAGGACAACAAACTTTTGCTTTGAAAAGTGGCGCAAGTTTTCAAAAGCTTTTTATGACCCCAGCTTCCTTTTTACAGATGAATATCTCATTGTTTTTCATAGCCTTAAAATTGCTCGTTTGATGTTCTATATGTCGAACATTATTTCATGAATTTCTACTCAAGTTATTGTTGATAATGTATCAATAAAAAACATGAAATCCGCATACTTGTGACTTTCTTTTGGGGCGCCAACTTTGGAATCCAATTTCAAGCACAGTATACTGTACTCTACTGTATTCTTATATTTTCCAAATGGTTTGCTACAAAGCCCAAAAAACAAAATTCATGCGAATTCAAATATACACGAACATTGATAAATTTCCTGGCCGGTCCTTTTCTGTGAAAGCCTTTGATACATTTTTGAACAAAACTTGTTCACCTTCCAATTTTTGGGAGTACAATGATTTCACATCACTGAAATCAAAATAAAACTCTCATCGATCCTTGATTTTTTTTATCCAAAATTTCACAAAACGTCTGCATATTACCAAAGATTTCAACTCTATATAAATCCTCGTCATCTGTCATATTCCTAATAAAGAAACTTTTGAAATATAGTATCAACTTGCTTGGTCAAAACCAAAGGAATTTCTTGTTTGACAGTGAACGAAGTATTAATCCAGTCCTGTCCAAATCAGATGTTGCCAAGGGCCACATTACCAAATTCTAATGACTATCATGGCCACATTGTAGAGGTTGAGAAGCCCTTGAGGACACAAGAAACTACAGTTTTGGGGACTTCAACTTTACCCCTATTAGTTAGCGCTCCCAAATTTAATTCTGAGCTAAGCATTGAATCACAAGCATATAGCCTTGTTGAATTTTTGAAGGGTAGAAAAAATTTTTGTATTTTCACATTGAGTTTTCAGTGCATATTTTGAATATAGTGGCAGATGCCACCTTGAAAACTATAGGGAAGGGACTGCAGGATGGATGAGAAGCATCTTAATTGCAGGCCCAATCCTGCCCAAAGGCTGTATAGTTGGGCAGTGCTGTTCTGACTAGACATTCTATTGATCATCATGTTTGAGTGAAAATCTTTCAAATAATTCATCATGTGCTCCTGCAATCAATTATTTCCATCAGAATATTCAGTAAAATCTTGTTCTGTACAATACTCCCCCAGGGACTTGATGAAATTGTATTACTGTATAACTAAAAATATGTTGTATCTGGATTTACAGTTTTAATAACACATTTTAGACTGAAATTTTGTGGGAAATGGAAAATATATACAGTGAGACCCCAAGATGCAGACATAATGGGTTCATCAGGAGTGTCCCTAAGTTCAAATGTCCCTACCATGAGTCTTGTTTTCCCAAAGACTTAAATTTAAAAATTTTTAATTGGTGCTTTATAGAAGAAATATTTATCAGAATTCCATGGAAAAAATTGTCTGCTAGTTGAAATTGATTCAGTGAATATTTTTCAACTCAATAAGAACATTTGGAGCATTGAATACTGTACCTCTGTACTGGCAACTGTAAAAATGACATACAAGTCACAAATATAGAAGGAAGTCCCTCTATGCTGGANTTGGGCAGTGCTGTTCTGACTAGACATTCTATTGATCATCATGTTTGAGTGAAAATCTTTCAAATAATTCATCATGTGCTCCTGCAATCAATTATTTCCATCAGAATATTCAGTAAAATCTTGTTCTGTACAATACTCCCCCAGGGACTTGATGAAATTGTATTACTGTATAACTAAAAATATGTTGTATCTGGATTTACAGTTTTAATAACACATTTTAGACTGAAATTTTGTGGGAAATGGAAAATATATACAGTGAGACCCCAAGATGCAGACATAATGGGTTCATCAGGAGTGTCCCTAAGTTCAAATGTCCCTACCATGAGTCTTGTTTTCCCAAAGACTTAAATTTAAAAATTTTTAATTGGTGCTTTATAGAAGAAATATTTATCAGAATTCCATGGAAAAAATTGTCTGCTAGTTGAAATTGATTCAGTGAATATTTTTCAACTCAATAAGAACATTTGGAGCATTGAATACTGTACCTCTGTACTGGCAACTGTAAAAATGACATACAAGTCACAAATATAGAAGGAAGTCCCTCTATGCTGGAGGTAATTTTTTTTAATTAGCTGAATGAAAGGGAAAAATATCTAAGAACATTTCTCGCATATATCCTAGGGTTGGAAATATCTGTTTTTTACAATGCAGCCTGATGAAAATTTTTCCTGAAACTTATTGGCACTCTTTATCATGCAATGCACACATGCCACGTCAGTGTCTGCATGTCAGACCTTTTTATGCATTTTTTATTGTCAGATAAATGAATATTCCTATGTTGAATTGTCTGCATGTCAAGGTGTCTGCAGGTGGGGGATTCAGTGTAATTCAAAGTGCTTCCAAAATGTATGAATCAAAATCCATCATAATTAATAAGCATTGCTCATTAAATGACAAGAAAACTTTTGAAATAAATAGTACTTTTCTTTCATTAACCCAGTCTTTGTACCAATAAAGCGCTGTGTGTTTCAAGAAATATAGAGCAACACTAAATTTCATGTGGTAGAAACATGGAACTTCCTTCTCCATCAACTTATTCACTTGTAAATTTCTGCTCTTTCAAAGACAGGAACACTTTTCCAACATGATGTTTACTTCAAAGAAAGGCATGCATTCTAAAATGGATCTGAAGAATTCCCAAGAAACATATGCATATTTTTTAACACAAAGTTTTCTCTGAAGAAATTGTCTTCTTTGATGAAGTTCAAATGCCACATTTTTAATTTTTTCTCATTTTTCTGCCATTTATCAAATAATCCCAATGGCCTATTTGCAGAATCATAGCCAATGTCAGGCCGATTGATGACAAATAAATTAGAGAAAGGAATAAACGCAGAGTGAGTCGGAAATTGCCGGCCTAGGAGAAATCGTCTCAGGGAAATCTTTAAGCGTCGAAATAGGTGTGTGCGTGTTTTGGTGTCTTCCTTAAGATGTACCCAGAGGTACAGACAATCGCGCTAGGATGCAAATATGCTTAACCACAGTCAGGTACACACACAAGCTCTCAGGAGTGACTCTTGAGTCGTAATGTTCTTCTCCCGAAGTCCCAAAGACTTCGGTGCCGGCTCCCGCTGCCGGAGATAACTATCTTTTGTTCTTGACCCGGTTTACCGCAATGCGGTAAACCGGGTGCCCTATCTGCTTCCAGGTTTGCGTGCAGGTGTTGCTGCGCGGTGTACCCAAGCAAGGATGCTACGCTCGGGTTGCCGCGTGGACGCGACCCCACAGCCAAGTTGTGCATAATGAGATTGCAGCCTAAAGAGATCTTGTTAGAATTATATTTTCAAAAAAGCATGGAGAAAGTGCCCAGACCAAGAAAATATGTGTCATACCTGTAAAAAGATTTGATGTAACAAAATTCTACTGTACCAATCAAATCAACTGTGGGTGAGAAAGAGGCTGAAAAGGAAAAAAAACCTTCCAGAACACCAAGGAATAATCATCTTGGAAGAAAAAAAGCATTTTCAACCACAATCAAAATGTCCATAGGAAATAAATTTGAGAACAAACTTTCCAATAAAATTTGATCTTTCTTTCTGATTCAAAAAGTCAACTTAAAACTGTGGAACACAACTCAAATCATAAGCTCAAAATCTGCCTCCAATTAATGCCAACAAAAACAGCAGCAACAAAAAAAGGGGAAAACCATAGATCAGAAAATCTTTTGTGCTGGATTCAGCACTTGAGGAATAGGTGCATCACAAAATCGCCTCTCAGCCAAAATCCCATCAGCTGAAAGTTGGACTCCCCAGGGAAGAAAAGCGTTCACAACTTGCTTCACCAACTGCAACAAAGCCAGAGCAACATTGTCAGTACTCATTTCCAGCAATTTTAGTCACTCAAACTTAGAGCAACCAATCCTTGTGTTCATCATAAACTGTATGCTTGTTTTTTTGGTCATTTTTCGCCTTCAATGCCCATTTTTTGAATTTTTTTTGCAGGTGTTATGCCTAAAAAAACTTGTGCAACAAAGAACCCACTCTTTGGACTCACATGAAAAAATAGTTGAGAAGTGTTATGACTGTAACTTGGATTGAGTAGCTCAAGGATCTTCAAAACATTTAGGGGTTGGTAAAAAAACCTGACTACATTCACCTCAAGTTTTTTTGACTGAGAAGTTGGCATTAATTTCTTATTCACAAACTGAAAATTTGGGGCGATGTCCATTCAACATCACTGATACAGTTTAACCATGACAAGTGAAACCTCTCAAATTGAAAACATCCCTAATTGGAATTTCTTCTTCTTCCCTGGTGAATTCCCTTAGATTCAATGCAATTAAATCCACTCAATTGAAAATTGTTTGGGCCAAATGTCTCATAAGTCAAACTTTTAGGACGTTTTTGTTATAAAATTGGGACTTCATTTTGGAACACCTGTCCTAAAAGTAAAGCATGAACAACTGCGAATTACTTAAATAATTTTCTTTACACTCTCTTAGGGGGATTAGGCATTTTCCTGCAGGTAGGACATTGTGATTAACAGACTCAAACGTAGCCAAATATCCTAATTTCGAAAATCTAGAAGTAAAATTTTGTTGCAGTCCTTTCAAAATTTACGGAGGTTCAACTGTACTGATTGCCAACTTTTAATTGCATCATAGTTGTAAAATATGGAATATTGTAAAAAATATTTTACACCAGAGTTATTCAAAGTACTACGCAAAAAAGGCGATTCAACCACCTGCTAATTCCTATAATTTGATGTTTTCCCTCCTCAAAATCGATTGATGAGATTCACTAGGTCAATTTCTATGAATTGAAATGAGCATAAAAATGAAAAAATTTAATCAAAAACCAGTTAACTGAATTCTTATGCTCGCTCATGAGCTTGGGACTTTCCTCCTCCAGTGATGATGTAATTTTAATATGAAATAATTATTAATCGTTATTTTTCATTATTTTGTATAAAAAACGTTTCGATGAGGTAAAAAGTGGGGAATTGTCGAGGTGAACAGTCAGGAAGAAAGTTACGATACCAGTAATTTTTTAACACTTTCAACTGGAAAGTTGAACTCGAAGTCTTAAAATTGTAATTTCAACATTTAGAAGAAGCAAGAGATAGGTGGACTTTCTCTACCAAAAAAAAATTCAAGGGAAAAGAAGAAATGACTTGTGGTAGAGAATTTCATTGTAGAGAATCCCTAAAATATGGGTTGGGAACCCTCCTATAGGACCAAACAAAAATTCGTTATACAGTACTGTACTGGGAAAATCGTTGTAGACAAGATCACCGTAAAGAGAGACTTCACCTCTTTAAAAGATAACAATTCCAAAATAATAATGATTTGTCGTTGTTGTTGTTGTGAGAATGTTGCCAACCTGCGCGAGTATGTTCTTGGTCCATCTCCTCGTTTCAGTCCTCTCTTCTTCCTTCCCGTTCGTTCGTTTCATCTCAACTCGCAGCACTTGGACGGCAACACGTCCCAATTGTAGACATACGGCCTGGCGTGCACCACTTCCTGGGTGCACAACTTCTCCCCGTTGGACGCCTTCAAATTGGCGTGCAATTCCTCCATGGACAAGGGCGACTTTTTGTGCGTGATGAGGAAGTCGTGGGAACAGCCGCGGGACCGGTACTCGGTGTCGAACCGGACGTCGTGGTGTCGCAGGATCTCCAGTGGGGCCAGCCACGTGCCAAAGGTCACGTCTTCCGCCCTGTAGGCCCGGGACCGCGGGGCAGAGTCCACCAGGTACTGGACCAGGTCGGAAGACAGCAAGTACCCGCCGCCTCGGGCGTACGGAAGGTACCTTCAACGCGGAGGGGGGGGGGGAGAGAAAATGCTCAGTCATCATTCAATCATTTCTTCTGTTCAACTTCACAAATACAGTGAGACCCCCACATGCAAACACCTCGACTTGCGGACAATTCAACATAAGGACACTTATTTTCCCAAAAAAAATCAATAAATAAGGCCCGGCATGAGGACACTGACTCAACATAGGGACATTTTGGGATAAAATTGCAATTACATTTCAGGCCAAATTACAAGAAACAGATACTTCCAACCCTAAAATTGATTTAAGAAAAGTTCTTGGGCATTTCTCTCACCGAATTACCATCCATTCAGCTAATTAAAAAAAAATTACCTCAAGCATAGAGGGACTTCTACTTTTTTCACTTGAATTTTATTTTTGTAGATGCCAAAATTTCAGTTTACAGTANACACTATTCAATGCTCAAAATGTTCTTGTTGAGTTGAAAATGTATTCACTGAATCAAATTCAAGTGGCAAAAAATTTTTTCAGGAAATTCTGAAGAATATTTCTTCCACAAAACACCAATTATACATTATATAATGTAAGTCTATGGGAAAACAAGACTCAACTTAGGGACATTTTGACTTGGGGACACTCTTGATGCCCCAATTATGTCCGCATCTTGGGGTCTCACTGTACAGTCAAATAGCTCCAAGTTGACTTTCAATGCAACCAGCAAAAAAAAATATATCAAATTAGGGAAAGAAGCATTTTTTTCTGTGGAAGAGGTGGAAAAATCGCAGGAAATTGTGATTTCGTTTTATTCTGGGCCTTAAATTGATATTTAAATGGGTTGACAGAATGCTGTACATGAGAGGCAAGGGTTTATTTGCCCAATTAGTCTTTCCTGTCCTTTCAAAACACATCAGGTAACTTTTTCATTGCTTTTCTCCTTCCTGTGTCAAGAAAAAAGGTCTCAGAAAATTCGAGTTACGGAGGTTTGAGAGGGAAGACCTTCCAGTGAGGGAGGTTTTTAATGCATTGTTTCCTGGGGAACTGAGACGGGAACAGAAAAATATTCGACTTGAGGAGGTTCGAGTTATTGAGGTTGAACTTTACAGTGAAATCTCGCTGCAAGGAACTTTCAGGGACCCGAGATCAAATTTGTTATGAAGAAAATTTCGTTACATCGGGATTCATGGTCATTAATTTTAAGAATTTTCAAAGGGGTGGTTTTAATTTTCTCTCGTCGCTTCCTTGAATGGGGCTTGAGAGAAAATTTGGCATGACAAAAATTCGTTAAATAGAACTGTGATGAGATTCATGGCTATTCATTTTTAGAATTTTCAAATAATACTTTTTCCATTTTCTCACTCGACTAGAGGTTTTGTTCATCGAGTGAAGTTCTTTGCTTAAAGCAAAATGGCCGCGGTGTAACATCGAAAAATTCCGATTGATCATGATTATTCTTTTGTAGAATTTTCGAAGAATTTTTTTTTTCCATTTTCCCTCGTCACTCACTTGACTCAAGGTTTGTTCCTCGAGTCAAGTTCGTCGCTCAAAGGAAAATTGCGTCCAAACCAGAGTTCGTTATGTAACATATTTCGTTGCTTTGGGCGTTCGTTGCTCAAGGACCCGCTGCACTGCATGTGTACAACAAACCCGTGCAGCAGTGCAAAAATTCACGTCACGTTATACGAATAACGTGCGGTAACACAACGCAAAAAAACCAAGACGCAATTTCACATTTTTCTCGGCAAAAATTGAACCACGATCCACACGATCTGTAAAAGGCGCAGTCTGCGTGTGAAATTTTGAGAAAGTATCCATGGCTGGACAATCTAGTGGGGATATAGAATCAAAGGAAAAATCGCTTCGTCGTTGTTCCGGGGAAAATTGGATCCAAATTGCTTATACCGTATCAATATTTCCCACACGTACTGAACTTTTTCTGCGAATTTCTTGCGTTTGGAAAAGCGGAAACGTTGAAATCGATGGACGAAAGGTGATTCCGAAAAAGCAATCAACTCACGCCCTTTCTGTCTTTCAAAGAGAAAGAGCTGGAGAAAAAATGCCTCCGGTCGGGTTCTTCGTCTTTTAAAAATCAATCACCATAAAAATATTTGAACGCACAGTTTCAGAGAAAGTTGACCATCATTTTCAGAATAAACCTAATTCCTTTAAAAAAAAATAATAATAACATGCTCAAATTTTAGAGAAAGTCGTTTGTGGTGTTTTCTCTGGGATAGACCCTTTTCTTTGAATTGTTCAACCCAATCTGAATTGCGCAAAAATGTAGAAACAAGGCCATTTACTGCCCTCTTGAAAAAAAAATGTTCTCCTTTCTACTTCAAAAATGACAGATCCTGTGCAGAAAATTGAATACAAGGAGTTGCGCAAAACCCCAGGGTTATTTTGATCATTTTCTAAAAAAATTAATTTCCTAACAAGT